TCAGTGACATGTGAGATTCCACTCGCGTTTTTTTTTTTTTTGGAATTACTATTCTATTACAAATTATCTCTGGAATCTTCTTCGGTTTACATGTAACATCAGATATTAACTCAGCATATTTTAGTATTTTCTATTTAATTAGAGAAATATATTATGGATGGTGTTTACGTTATCTTCATTCTAATGGTGCATCATTTGTCTTTCTTTTTATATTTCTACATCTTGGAAGAGCTATATCTTATGCTTCATATTTTTACACCAGATGGCTTCTCCCAAGCTGGACGCAGCAAGACATCGTTGCAGCAACTGCGTGCTATTCTGGCCATGGCCATGAGCAGATCTGCATGAGCAGATGTGTCAAGTGAAAAGTTGCATCCTTTCCTTCTGCCATGCGAAAACCTGCGGGCACAAAGCGCCTTGGGCAACTCTATGGAGAAATCGGGGCTTGTGTGTGTATGGGTTGTTGGAGTTTTTATCTGTTGCAGGTTGCTTTAAATGGAAACCAAGAGCAAAACCACCATATTCGGGCATCCCTTTGTTGAGACATACCCATCTTGCCACCTTGGACCGATGTAGAGCAGTCCGAGCTGAGGCGTCAAGGCGGAGTATGATCGCGTGATGAAAGTGCTGACCGTGCAGGCAGTGCGAGGGGACGACGTCGGGACATGTTATGGGAGGCTTCGGAGGCCTACGGTCAAACTCCATGCAGATCGGCGCCAACTTGGGGAGAGAGATCTCAAGCAGAGCTCTCTGTGCAAGCAAATACTTGTTGGCTCCCAGCCATCCGGTGCCTTCGCTGGTTAGCTGTTTAGTTGGTTTAGTGGTTGGGTTTCCATTTACTAAAAGTTCAACCCAGAATATTGAGGGGCTTGTTTGTGGCTCAGCTTGAAGGACACCACAGCGCACACCCTCCTTGTGGGCCATCTCTACCTGCCACACATCCAGAGGGCAATGCGAGTTCCAGTGCAACCCGCGTCATCCAGTTTTGAGCTTTAAAGAAAAGCGCGCTCACCGATCCGGGGACATGAAGGTCCTTAGCTTGCAAAATCCATATCTTGGCTTTGTGACGTCAAGAAACTTAGCCAACATTGTGCCTCGCCCCTATTCTTTGCAACACGCTCCCAAGCGACTTGCTGCCTGGCAGGGGCAGCGCGTGCGGGTGATCCGGCAAGGACACGATCGCCGCGGTTTGGTTTCTGTATGTTTACTCGTCCTTTTGCAGCCCCAAGTAGAAGCTTGAACCGCCCGAGAAGTGCACTTGGACGAGTGTGCCAGTGTTGAACCGGCAGATCGACCCTGATCGAGTGAGGTTCCTGGAATCGTTTGCGTGACCGGAATGGGTACTCTGGGAGCCCTTAGGCGTGAGGTCACTTCAGTTCTCCAGATCGGCCGCAGGACTGAGGTTCGTGCACGAGCCGAATCAGGCGAACGACTTTGTGGATTCCCTGTCCAGCATGATGCACCTGGGCAGCTTAAGGGTTTGGAGAAGGACACGCACAGACAGGTGGGCTGGCAAACTTGGCAGACTGGCAGACTCAAGACAAAGCTGCCAAAATAGTTCGTGCAAAAGCCACTGGGGGTGAGGGGGGACACTACATCTTGTGCTATGATCTGATTGTGTTTGACTGGTCCCAATACATGCAATTGTTTTCAGGTTAAGCAGTTGCAGATGAGCCACAATTAAAACCCCGCGTAGATGAAGGTTAGTAAGGGACAACCCCAAGCAAAGATAGCCGCGGCGGCCGCCTTCTTCATTCTTTACATTGTTCTGGGTAGACCATTTTAATACCGGGTTTTGATTATGACTCAGATGCACTTTTCGGGGTTCGCTTGCAACTTGTTCAGATGCAGCTTGCACTTCGATGCCAAATGCAGCTGGGTGATGTTGAGGGTGAAGTGGAGTGGGGTGGGCGCGCCAGAGCGCGAGGTGGCAAGGAGCATGTTTGCGAGGTCCGGTACCTGAGATGTTGTTAAGGGTTAGTAAGGAGACGTTGAGCTGGCCGAGAGGGAGAGCTTTCCTAGCTTTTGGCGATTCCTGAAATGGGAACCCCTTTTGATCATCTCTACGCATGTTTTTCTGGATTCCGTCCCGAACAAAGCATGGAAGCACGCCGTTTTGAGCTTCAAAGGCTGGCCATGCCCCTTGGGCGGTGGGGATGGTAGAGTTTGACACCACGAGGATTCTTGGGGAGTCGTCACCGTGCCTGAAGTTGGGAACATGGCATTCGCAAGACATCGGGTCACGAACATGGGCAGCCTTCGACAGGAGCTCCGGTCTGCCCGCACAAATCAAGCAAGCGGGTGTGGCACTGATTGGGGCTGTTTTAGGTTGCTCAAGTCTCAGAACACAAGCTTGACAACCGGTGAAGATCATCTGGACAAGTACAATGAGCTTAGTAAAACGTCCCATAATGAAAGTTCTTACTCGGGCGTTCCCTTTCCAGTTTGGGAACTTGTTTTGTTTAGATAGTCAACTTTCATCGGGGACCCATTGGACATGGGGATCTCCCATGACCTTTTTTTGATATCCTTTTTTTCTTTTTCGATGTGTCTTTCCATATGCAGGGGAGCGCTTCTGAGGGGGTTCGACCTGCATTTCCAGATACCCGAGGCTGGTGCTGTCCCCGCTCGCGGAGCTTCTGCCGGGCCACGAGGCAGAGCGAGCAAGTCAGCGATGGCTTGGGCGCTTGGCGGTTTTCCAGCCCCAAACGGGCGCCCAGGGCGCCCGTTTTTCGGGCGGCGAAGGAAGGGTTTTTCGGGTGTCAAAGGAAGGTCAAAAGGAAAGTCATGTTTTTTTAGGCACCCTCAAAGCAAGGCACCCCCCAAATGGCAACGCATCAGGTCGGGTCTGTTTGAGGGCGAGTTTGTGTGCAGGTGGCCGCCCGCAGCCTTCGGGCGAGCCAACAAGCCATCGCAGAGGTGCAGCGGGACTTGGCCCAGATCCAGGGCGCCCTGACAAGCTTCCTTCGCATTGGTCCAAAGTGAATGTCATTGGCGCACAACCGGCCAGCACCGCAACTCCGAACTTCCAATCTGCTAGCTCCTGCTCCTTAAGATGGCGTTTGCAAGAAACCCCGCTGCAAGAAAGTGATCCGCGAGGCAGTTCCGCGTGAGTGGTGCTGCTCGCGCGCCCAGAGCCGCGTGCGCAGAGACCGGCTTCAGCCAATTTTACAGCCGTTTTTCTAGCGCAGGCTGCGTCTTTGCAGCGCAGGGCGAGCCAGAGCCAGCTGCCACGCAAAGCAGCGCTGATCGGACTCGTCAAAACCATGCTTTTTTCCAGGCGCTCAGCGTCGAAAAGTTGGCGGCATGGGCGGGCAGCAGCCTAACTAAAGCAAATCATTCCTTGTGACACTGTTCTGGGACAAATCCTTAGAAACAAAGGGAGATTGCCCTTTTCCCTTGTCTGCCCTTTGTCCTTTTGCCTCCGCATGACAGCTGTGAGTAAGCACTTTCTTTATCAAAGGGCTCATGATGCTGGGTGTCGCATACAAGATAACAATAAACACATGGTGATGAAGATGATGAGAATAGCGTGGCATTTCGATCCGACAAAGCAAAAGATGCAGGTTCTCTGATGGGCGGTCAACATGGCCTGACCCTAACCCCAGCGAGTGTGTGTCATGAAAATGCAGCTTCTTGAAGGACATGCAGCGACTCTATGCATCATTCTCTTTCGCAGATGTGACATGTGTTGCGAAAGCCACAAAGCAAAAGATGAGGACGAGCTTGCCACAGCTAGCACCGTTAGTGTTTGTTCCGAAAGTCACCACTGTGCATCCCCAACATTGCCAGCAATGTCGAGCGTCCCAGTTGACACCAAATCAAGAAAGTGACAACGACGATAATTATAATGATGATGAGGAGGAGGAGGATGAGGATGATGCCGATGATGACGATGATGGTAATGGTGATGGTGACAGTGACTTAGACATGGTGATGGTGGTGATATCAATCTTGGTGGTGATGGTGATACTGTTGATGATGCTGGTGATGGTGATGTTGATGAGGACGATGACGATGATGAGGATGACAGTCATGATGACCCACCCTTCCTGTGTTGGAACAGGGGTCGGCGGATTGGGAGGGGCCTGGTCACTTTGAGGCCGATTCACGGTCGGCCAAAATCAAAAATCAACGAACCCCAAAATAGTCTGGGGGAGTTATGACCACCCTCCCCAAGGGATATCCATCATGGCTTTGTGCAGTCCCCTGCACATTTTTTTCTGCGTTCTGAGGTACGCTGGCATCTTTGGACCATGCCGTTGTTGTGTTGGAGGCCCACTGCAAAGACTTTGCGTGGAACGTGTCCATTTTGGAGCCTTGCCTGAATGGGAAGGGCCATGTTGGGGTGAATTGTTCCCCCAACTCACTTAGTTTTTCACGTTTGGAGGAACTCGTGTATTTGCGAGATCATTCTCCGCGTTGCCGAAGCGCCCGAATACTGAAGCTATTGTCACGCATGTGGAGTTGAAGTCCGGTCACTTAGGACCGCGCCGGACTGATAAGCGCCTGGGAGGCTACAGCGCGGGCGCCAAGTGTACCGAAAGGCCAACGCGGCGGTTCGTTCGTTGGAGAAGGCTCAATGTTCGGGTCCAATGAAAAAATGTTTGCCGCTGAAAGACTGAGCTCCTTCGAAGAGGTTGTGGCTTTAAGATCTGGGCAAGCTCTTGCCGTTGTCATGTTGGCCGCAAAGAATCCTGGAGAATATTCCTTGAACCACCGAGCCCTTTCGCCTGGAGGGACATGGCTTGCTGCATGGCCCGCGCCCTGCCTTCCACTGGAATCGTATTGCACGTGGTTCCAACCACTACAAAGGGGGTGAATACAACCCTTGTGTACCAAACGAGTTTCATCGTCTGCATAGGGTCAGCTATTATCTCACAATTATCTTGAGATGGGCTGCTCCCTACGCCTATATATATATAATTGTGTTTTCTTTATCCAGGCTCTCCCCTTCTTCGCCTGAGGTAATACAGGATGTCGGGAACTTGAGCCAGTCGATGAATTTGTCCACGATGACCAGCTTCGCGAACTTCAGTGGCTCCGCAGCTTGGCAGCGCCAAGGTTGAGGGGACCAATCAACCAATCTACTCTGCAGATGAATATGGGTATGGGTCAAAATAAAACCACCAGGATATGGACCGCAGGTTTTAGTCTTTGGTTCCATTTACCAGGGTTCCATTTTTGGTACGCATTTTTGACCCACAGCCATATGAACCGGAGTCATAAAAGAGGAGTTTCGTCTGTGGGTGCTTTCTGGGGTCAAAGGCCATCCTCCAGATCCTTCCCTCTCGGAAAGGTCCCCTTTGTCTTGAAAAAGGGAACGCCATAGATGGCCCTGGTATGAAAGTCACCCAGGTCAACCGTTGGAATCGGCATCTGTTTTTCCTACCGAGACAACCAGCAATGTGTTCAGGAAGGTCCGTGCCTCTGATCTCTTTGGCTTGGTTGCCAGTTGTGACGACTGCGGGTCGGGAGCACTGACGCATCTGCACATGTGGTCGCAAACAGCGCGCTGAAAGCAGCAATGGTCAAGCTCATGCCTGCCTTAAGCCTGACATTTCTTCAGTCCAATGCACATTGCGTGTTTGAGAGACTTGGTGACCCCTTCGTTGTCCGGACCAGGCCTACTCAACGCCTGGATGCTCCAGGCTTGTTCACAAAGGTGGTTTCACACAGAGAATTGGGAGACGGATTTGCCGGATTCTTCAATTGCAGGGTCCACTGCAAAAGATGGTCATCAATTGCGCAGGTTGCCTGGTGCAAGTGAGGTTGAAAGGGTGAGATGGCCCCACCCTCCCAGCATCTCACATCAAAACCGGTGAGAAAGCTGGGTTGATGTTGCACCCAGCAACAGATGAATCGGTGGCAGCCCCGGCAGCCCCGATTCAATTCCAAGGCACACATCTCCGGGGGCTCCCTGCGGGAAAGGATCTCCTTGCAAAGGAATATCTCACTTTGTGGCCAAACAGGGCCCTCAGAAATCGCCAGCCTCCAGTGGTATTACGTTTTATTGAACCCATCCAAGACACGGGTCACGCCATGAGATGGCTTAGGAGTACATGAAGAAATTCATGGACCTGGAGCTCGTGAGGGACTGGAGCAAGCTGCGAGACTTCGAGAAGACGGCTCTTTGGCACGATGCAAACCTTGGGACCGGGAGGCGGAAGGAAGTTTTTGTCGTGAAATGGGCTGCTAATCCCTGGAAATCTGGGCATTGCCAGAGGGCACCAGAGGTTGCACGCCTTCTAGCCGGATGGGGCGGCTGGGCTCGCGCTACGAGTCTCACATGTGGCTATCCCTACGTTAATGTTTTAATGTAGCAATACATGTTCATGGTAAATCTTATTTGCTTATGCTGTTGCATAACCTGCGTTGCAAACTTGAAACAAGGCACTCAAATGAGTGAATCGACTGCCGTTTGAGATCGAAACAAAATCATTGTGATAGCTGTCAACGACTCAGATCTCCGGTCCATCCAGGCGCACTTACCGGTTCAAAGCCAACCTCAAAAAGCTGTTTGTTCACTTGTTACCTTTTGTCAGAGGCGTAAAGGTTTTATCAGAGGCAGGCACAACAAATCGGAGCTCAGAGTTCATCGCACAATGGTGTGTCGCTTGAAAGCCGTGGATTTACTCTCCGGCTTCAGGTGATTTTCCCAAGGAAGCAACAGGGCAATCCGCATAGACCAGATGTTTGATTCGAAATTCGGAGCCATGCTGTTCTCCCATAATATAGCTACTTTTCATGAATCTGGTTTGGATGCAAAGCGTGGTTGCCGTTCTTGGTAACGCCGCCATGGCGGGGGGGGGGGGGGGGCGTGTAAATACCAGTGATTTTGGCCACGCTGATATCTTACCAAGTTGGGGATCCTTTGCATTCGCGGGGGGGGGGGGGGCAGTGGTTACAGTCATGGTGGAAGCCGTTCAAAGAATTGAGCCAAGGTCCAACATCTGCTTGCAGTTTTTCAGGTCATGTTGCAGGGAGCCCCGTCAACCCCGGCCCGTCCATCTCGTGCATCATGGATTCAAGCCAATACGGCGCAGTATTCAAGCCAACACGGGCCGAAAGACTTTCGCAAGTTGGGCAAGACAAAGCAGAAGCATTGTGCACGCAAGTGATTTTCTTTTGCCAGTTGGCCCCGCTCAGGGGGCGTGGGTTGTACCATTGATGCGTGGGATTGTCAAACCTGTTGCGTGTTTTTTTTTTTTCCAGCACCGCGTCCGACAAAAAAAACGTGGTTTTCCTCCAACATCTCTTGATTGCGCAACGCTTCTGCATTGTCTTGCTCGCATCCTTGTTTCATCCAGTCAACATGCTCGCTTTTTGGTGAACTTTATACGCATCACTTTGTGGACATTGTCCACTGATTCTTTGCATCGGCGGGCATTTCGGCGGCGGGGGGTGAGAACCCGTCGATGTGCAAGTGTCTCATTGCTGAGAGCTGATTTTGCGCCACTTCACACCTTTTCCATGCCAAGACTTCAGGGATTTGTCTAATAGGGAACCCCCATGGCTGGTTTCCCTCTTCTCTTCAAAACCCATCCCCCAGCTGTGTTATGGTACCCGGACAAAGAACGAGCTCCCTCATTTGCTAGCGAACTTGCTGAGGAAGTTTGGGCCATGGCCAACCGCACGCGCGAGGCGGGGAAACGGGGGGAAATCTGTGGGCAGATGTTCGCGCCGAGATGGAGCAGGGTTCCAAGGCAGTGGCAATGCCCTCCAACGTCCTCACTACAGACGAGACATCTAGACATCTGCAGATTGGTGGAAGCAACAACCTTCTCGCATCCTAATTGGCATCGAGAGTGAGTCGCTGAAAAGCAGCTCTGGAAGATGGATGACTCGGCTATCACTGGGAGAAAAGGCCAAACCCACATGAATCACAGGCTTCGAAAAGGAAACAAGCGCGAATCTAAACACTGGGCACCAGAACTCTATACAAACGAAAGGGGATCAAGAAGAGTGGCCAGATCATTTATGCCAACTTCTCGGGCTTTCAAAGATCACAGTTCAATGTAGAGGTTTGTTCATTTTAAGGGGAGAACTGGTGGGGGTGAGCCCTTGGTGGACTCTTGAGGCGTCTTGGGAGCTCACCCGGGTGGTGCGGAGCGAGGCGGCCGGCATCTTGGACGAGGCGCGCGATGGAAAGAGCTGCCAGACTCAAGCTGTGGATCCTAAAACGGGTGGCCTTGGTAGCCATGGTATACTAAAACAAAGACTGAGACCTGTGTAACCTGAGCTGTGAAATAGTCAACGCTTCGCGCTGCCCACCTCGTTTTTTTTTTTTTTGTCTTTTGGTTGGCTTTGAGGTACCGTGTTTTGGTTTGCCTTGAAGTGTGGTGTCTTTTTGAGTGAGTGGGTCGGCACCGAAATGCGTGGCTAGGGGGCGAGAGCTGCAGCCATAGTCGCCTTAGGGCGTGGGCTGGGTTGGCCAAGCGCAGGGGGCTTTGTTGGGCACGCCGACAGGCCGAGCCAAACCCCAGCCATCCAACCCAACGGTCTGAGGGGTCTGACCTCCGGCCCTTCTGGACGGAGTGCTCTGAGCCCGTTGCGGCAGACTGGGGCCTAGACCGTTGGCGGGGCCTAGGAGCAGCGCCACAACTTCAGTGGTGGTGGTTTTCGGTCCTCAAGGGTGTTGAAAGGCCTACAAAAGCTTTTTCAAAGCTCAGCAACGTCACACCCCAGAGGTTGCTGACCTGGATGTTTCCTACAAGTAGGGTTCCTCCAAAACAACAACATCCAAGCACCTCAAGTTGGCCCATTGCCAGCCGCAGACCAGCTTGCATGCAGATTGCCAGGTGTTGGTCTTGCTGACGGCCACTGCCCGCAACATGGCGGCGTCTTGCTCGCAAACATTGTGCGAGTTCGGGGTGCCGTTGGACCGCCTTTGACCTCGCTTTTGTGAATGGAACGGTCGCCAGCAAGTACCAGAATTCTTGGTTTCGTGTGCCAAAGGTCTGGTCAACAGGGGTGCCGGTCGCCACCAGGAGTCATGAACGAAACAACGGAGTAAGATGCCTTTTGATAGAACTTTTTCCAGTAGCTACGGCAAACAAACGGTGCGTTCAAATCGGACGCATCTTGGACCTTAGAGCCGGATTTCGGCGCATGCAAAGTGGTATGTCCCCAAGGGCATTTGTTTGCAAGGGAAAGAAACCGGTTCACCAACCATGTTTGCAGGTTCCCAACATGAGTCACCTGTTTGCAGGAGCCGTTTGAGATCATGGCAAGATGGGTTGGGACAGCTTTACAAAGCTGGATCTCTGCGCAGTATGTAGTTGTGCATGGAAAAGGTCGCTTGACTTTTCATTCGCTGGCCTGCACTCCATGTTTCCAGCGGATATCTGCGATGAACATTGTTTGCCTAACCCGTCCAACTGATGCTTGGAAGCGGTTTGTTCTGCAAATCACGGGAGATCAACTAGGTGCTAGAACCAGATGTGAGGTGCGAAAAGCAAGGAGTCCGAAAGATCGTTTAGGCGGCGCCCAGCCAAGGATCAGCTGAGCTCGTTGGAATCCTACGCATTGGCCACGGGCATCTTGACGGAGCATGCAGCCTGGGGGCCCAGACGGGGTACGACATGGACGGCAGAGTGAACGGAACTGACCGATCGCTTCTTCCATTGCCAGGAACTTCCCAGGTGCATGACGATTCCGCGACATGATTAGCGTCTCTTCATGCCGAGATGAGTCATAGCCAGGTGAACGACATGGCGGACTTCTACAAGAAAACAGTCATGGTGTGCGTGGCAGTCGTGCCCCGGCCTTGATGGGAGGATCATCGACCTTGGGTTTTGGGTTCGTGGGCCTGCGGCCCGTGTTCAAGGGCAGGTGCCTTCGCAGGATTTGCCACCAGCGGATTAGCGAGCTCTGTGCCTCGCATGGCGAATCAAAGCTGAGCTAGCTGTTGCTTTGGGAAGATGAGACGAGGATAGGTCCAAAGAGTTGTACGACATTGCAGTGCTTAATGGCTTCCTTGTTCCACCTTTCATTGAGATTACTGCGCAGCTTAGGATGGGCAACGGTGCATGTGTGTGCCCATGTTTGGGTTGTTTCCTTTTGGATTTCCCTTAAAGCCACCAAAAACACACAAACCGAGTGCCGCAAACTGGCCAGGCCTGCGGTATGGCCCTCTTGGCCTTCGTCTACGCCTGCTACCTCGAGCCGCCTGGCGCTTCGAATCCCGGAGGTGGCGGGTCCTTAGGTTTGTATTTAATTCCAGGGATCCCTCAATGTCCGCCTTTTTGGACTTGCACAAGTGGCATGTTCGTTGGAACCCACCGCTAAAGTGCAACCTTTTAAGAGGGAAATCCAGGGACCCCTGAATACACATCAGGTTCAAACATGCTTTCTTTTTTTGGGGGCAAATCTGAGGTAGTCTTGACATTCAGGCCACACTAGCCACACGATGCACCGCAGCCTGCAAGCACTTTGCAAACCCGACAAGCGGCCTATCTCCATGCCCCCTATGTGGATTGGCGGCATTTTGGTAATGTGTGCCGTTGTCAACGATCAGGTTGCTTGGAATCAGCCTTCAACGGAATCTAGCCATTGTCAACTTGCCTCATAGAACCCTTTTTCCCTACTTGCTGTGAGTTTTGATCATCACATGCTGCGGTTGCTCACACCAATCTGCATTTTTTTGCCGGGTGTCGGGAGGTGCATGGTTTAGGAGGCAAGCTGTGCCACCAGATTGGCCGCATGTTGTGAGGTATGTCTATGAGAACAATGAAGTGGCGCGGGCCTTCGAGACGGCATCTTGGCATCATGCGGTTTGGGGTTTGGCCTAGCCACAGCCAAGCAACCTGGGAAAGAAGCCAAGTGATTAGCCCATCACCTTCAGCCCAGTTCTGAGGACCCAGCGGCGCGGCAAGGCTGCTGCTGGGGCTGCGTGTGCCTTGGGCTGCAGGCGTCGTGTGTTGCATCTGGGCCCAGGTGTTTTGGACGTGTCTGATCCGCGCATGGGGACTTGGTATTCTAAGGAGCTCAATGATTCAAGGGTGAAACGAGGTCCTCTCCGCGGCCGCGGGCGTTCCCTTATATACTGATCAAGGTTGGGAATTCTTGATGCAGACGGGTTGTGTCGGAGAGATTGGTGGCGTGAACTTGGCGCGCCCTAGGCTTCAGGCTTCAAGGAAAACATGCCTGCATCCTCTTCGGGGCGAATCAGATTCATAGACGTGGCTCGCCCTTGGCCATTTGCATTGCATTGGGATTCGGTGAGATGGGATATCGAGTCCTTTCATGCCACCTTGATTGATGGCATTGACCGCCAGCTTGATGCGCGTGCATTGCTCTGCGGAAGCGGTGAAAGTGGACAGTAGAGGAGGTCAGTAGTTCAATTATTTGCCATTGTGTGACGGACATCGCATGTCATTTCACCCAATTCTGAGAGTGCACTGCAGCTCATCACACATGAAAATATGCTTCACGGCAGCATTAGCATCATGACCGGGGCACAGGGAAGGACAAATTCCTACAACTTTTTGCTTGTCGGGCTCAGTGCAATGATTTGTATTGCCACCCCAAAGCTTACACACAGCAACGGGCGACAGTGAGTCGGAGTGAAGGTATCCCCTTCACGGCTAGGAGAGACAGCATGCCATGCAGCTTCCCCAGCTCAAGTCGAGCCCAGCATCATCACTGCGGTGAATTCGGCTAAAGGATTGAGGGCCTTTCTGCCAGACGGAATCCCGATGGCACACGTTTGTACCTTGGAAACCGGGACGTGCCATTTATGCGGAAAACAAACCGATGCGTGGCCGAGGAATTGCATCGGGCACGTTTTCCACTACACAGGCTGCCGAATGATGGGGCTTGCAAAACTCGTAGGCCTTCCAGTTGCATTCACAAAAAATCTCGGATTTATATACTTTGCACTTTCTGGTTTCTTCAAGTACACCAGAAAAACTGTCGGGACCCCAGAGCTTGAAGTCAGAACATGGCAGTTTGGCAGGTGCCTTCTCGAAGATTTTGTTGGGCAAATCGCAGCGATGCCACGTTTGGGCTAATCTTGCGACGTCAGGCAAATTAGGGATGTTCTTCTTTTCGGTTGGTGATGTATAGCTTGCCCACTTATTGTGAGAGCCATGTGAGCTGTTTGCGCAACTTGGCTCCGACGGTCGGGCCCGGGGTCTTTGTGCTTCTGAAATCCCCGATGCCTTGCTGACCTCTGGAATAGGTACGCGCCGGGTCATCTGTTGAGCTGGATGTGCTTGGGGCCTTTGCGCAAGGATTTGGCCGGCTGGGAGTCTGCCAAGTTATAATTCTTTGGGCAAAGGTGGCTTCAACAGATCGCAAGCCTCTGAAAGGCTTCTACGCGCTGATTCTGCTGCAAGATGCCGTGCTTTGCTCGGCAAGGGATCTGGGCAGTTTGGAGTACCTCTGAGGGGTGGAAGAGGCTATCTGCACATTGGACAATGTTTTGTGCTGTCAACTCCAGGCATGCAGTACGTGGCCATAAAGGGATTTTAGGTAAGAGCGCCCGCCCGCCCGCCCGCGCGCCCGCGCCCGCACGGACGTACTCACGGAACCGCTCGCACGCACGGCACCTCACGGCATCGACACCACACACACACACACACACACGCACGCACGCACGCACGCACGCACCCACACACACACACACACCCACCCACCCACCCACCCACCCACCCACCCACCCACCCACGCACGCACGCACGCACGCACGCACGCACGCACGCACGCACGCACGCACGCACGCACGCACGCACGCACGCACGCACGCACGCACGCACGCACGCACGCACGCACGCACGACACGGCACGACACGGACGGGACCGGACGACGGACGGACGGACTGCCGCAAACTGCAACGCACGCACGCACGCACGCACGGCACGCACGCACCGCAACAGCACGCACGCACCCACGCACGCACGCACGCACGCACGCACGCACGCACGCACGCACGCACGCACGCACGCACGCACGCACGCACGCACGCACGCACGCACGCACGCACGCACGCACGCACGCACGCACGCACGCACGCACGGCACGCACGCACGCACGCACGCACGCACGCACGCACGCACGCACGCACGCACGCACGCACGCACGCACGCACGCACGCACGCACGCACGGCTTACGCACGCACGCACGGCTTACGCACGCACGCACGGCTTACGCACGCACGCACGACTTACGCACGCACGCACGGCTTACGCACGCACGCACGGCTTACGCACGCACGCACGGCTTACGCACGCACGCACGGCTTACGCACGCACGGCTTACGCACGCACGGCTTACGCACGCACGGCTTACGCACG